ATCATAGGCCCTAGTTCTCATGGCGGACTTTAATCACCCTGACATCTGTTGGAAGTCCAATACAGCAGTAGACAGACAGTCCAGGAAGTTTTTGGAGAATGTTGGGGATAACTTATTGATACAAGTGATGAAGGAACCAACCAGGGGCCATGCACAGCTTGACCTGCTGCTCACAAATAGGGAGGAACTAGTAGGTGAAGTAGATGAGGGTGGCAACATGGAAGCAGTGACCATGAAATGGTCGATTTCAGAATCCTGATGAAAGGAAGAAAGGGGAGCAGTAAAATACACACCCTGGACTTAAGAAAAGCAGACTTTGACTCTCTCAGGGAACTAATGGGTAGGATCTCCTGGGATGCTACCATGAAGGGGAAAGGAGTCCAGGAGAGCTGGCAGTATTTTAAAGAAGCCCTATTGAAGGCAAAAGAAAAGCAAATATGGTAGGCGACCAGCTTGGTTCGGCAGTGAAATCCTTGGCAAGCTTAAACACAAAAAGGAAGCTTACAAGAAGTGGATGAGGTCTAGGGAGGAGTATAAATATATTGCTCAAGAATGCAGGTGTGTAATCAGGAAGGCCAAAGCGCAATTGGAATTGCAGCTAGCAAGGGATGTGAAGGGTAACAAGAAAGGTTTCTATAGGCATGTTAGCAATAAGAGGGTGATGAGGGAGGGCATGAGACCCTTACTAGATGAGGGAGGTCACCTAGTGACAGATGATGTGGGAAAAGCTGAAGTACTCAATGCTTTTATTTGCCTCTGTATTCACAGACAAGGTCAACAAGGAGGTAGACAGCTCTTGGTACAGAAAGAACAGGGTAAGAACTATTTAGAAAAGTTAGACATACACAAATCCATGGGTCCGGATTTAATGCATCTGAGGGTGCTGAGAGAATTGGCAGATGTCATTGCAGGGCCTTTGGCCAGTATCTTTGAAAACTCATGGAGATTTGGGGGCGGGGACCTGAACAATTGGAAAATTGTAGTACCTATCTTTAAAAAAGGAAGAAGGACAATTCAGGGAACTACAGACTGGTTAGCCTCACTTCAGTCCCTGGAAAAATCACGGAGAGGGATTCTCAAGGAATCCATTTTAAAACACTTAGAAGAGAGGAAAGTGATCTGGAATAGTCAATATAGATTCACCAAGGACAAGTCATGCCTAACCAACTTGATTGCCTTCTATGACAAGGTAACTGGCTTTGCAGATATGGGGAGGTCCAGACGATATGATATACCTTGACTTTAGCAAAGCTTTTGATACGGTCTCTCACAATATTCTTGCCATCAAGTTAAGGAAGTATGGATTAGATAAATGGACTTGTAAGGTGGAGAGAAAGCTGGCTGGATTGTCGGGCTCAATGGGTAGTGATCAAACACTTCTATCAGCTTCCCTTACTCCTCATGACTATGAGGAGTACCGGTGCTGACCAGAGCCACCATCATTGTTCAATTTAGTGGGTCTTAACTAGACCTGCTATAGTGAACATCAGAAGGTTGATCTCCAGCACAGCAACTGGAGAGGTGGCTTGAGTACTCCTATAGACTAGCAATCTGAGATTACTGATTCTGAGTCAATCTGCCTCAGTTCTAATATATAATTGAGTAATTTATTATCTGCTCTAATATACACCAACTAGAATGGACCTCAGAAACTAAGCCAGTAGAGGATTTCTGGTTCTGTGACCGCTGAGAACTCATGCAGGCTGTGGGAATTATCCTGCTGACAAGATCCAACTCCTTTCCAGTCCTGTTATGTGCTGTTATGCAGGAGATATTTTTCGGGAAACTAATTGTCTTACTATAAATTGAACGGCCATGATATTTTTGGAATAGCATATATTGAAGATATGGGATGCATTTGGGCACACACATAAAAGTACATGGATCAGTTAGAATATCTTCTTTCAATTAGGAATGTTAAAATGAGGTTAATTTACTACTACTCAATTAGTTGACAGGGGAAGGCAGCCTGGATCAGTCCCGGCTCGCACTGAGTCCAGGACCAAACCCTCCTGCAGCTCTGCAATTTAAAATGTAGTAGGAGCTGGGGGACAGGGGTCCCCTCGCTTGAGCCGGACTGCCTGCCCAGCCAGCAGCAGCCCATGTCCATGGAAGGTCCCAGCAGAGAGTTGGGACCTCCTGCAGACAGGGGCTGCTGCTGGAGCAGCTTCTGCCTGTGGCGAGCCTGGGCCCACTGCTCTGATTCCTCTGCCCCAAGGCAGTAGCGAGTGGGGGAGCAGGTGGCACCACAGAGACAGTGCTGGGGAGAACCAGCTTTTAAGTAGGCTCCCTGCAACACTGGCCCCTACCCCCCATCCTTTGCTGATACAGAGGCAGCAAGGGGGTGGGGATTGAAGTAGTTGACTCGACTACCTGATGAGCCTAGGCTTATCAGGTAGTTGACTAGTCGACTACTCGCTAATATCCCTACTTTCAATGAGAAATGTATGTGTAATACTAAAAATTCTAGAATACACTTGAAAGCTAGGTCCTGGCACTTTTTCAGCGAAATTGTCTCTATATACTTTTAAATTCAATGTGGATTAAGTGGTTCCTTGGTTTCTTTCTCAAGCTTCTTAAACATTTTTAGGTTCTTGTATTGTAAGTCCCAATTTTCAGAGCTTGGTAACCAAAGAAAACTATTTTCCACTCTCAAACTTTGTTTTTGATAACTTTCTGTTGGAAGAATTTGCTCCTCTGATATAAATGATAGATTAGTTGCTTTCCTTTGAGAAAAGTAGTTATGTGGAGTTTACTGCTGTTCATGATAAATTGTGCTTTAAAGGAAAAATGGAGTTGTCTATTATATATTGGAGAGAGTTTTTCTGAGTCAGTCAGTCTGTTCAAGAACTCTTCCTAAATGGTAAGATCTAGGACTACCAAATTCAATATATAATTTCCTCTCATCATAACTTAAAGCAAGGTAAAGGTTTAGTTGTTCCAGGAAAATGGGATATGTGTAGCATGGGATTGCGTCTCATAAAACCATACAGAAAAGACAGAATCACCAGGCAGGTGAAAGGGACTGGGTGGAAGCACTTTTACCCTCTTCCCCTGTCTGGGACTACCCCAGACCCAAAGCTCTCACCCGTAGGAGCCTTTTGGGCGGGGGAGAGGGAGCTGAAGCTTCCCCCTTCCATTTGTATAGGAACATGGACCTGCCCTAGGTGGGGGACATGCACCCCTCCTTTGGCTGTGCCTGCTGGAATTGCCATGGCCATCGAGATGTGCTTCTCACTTGGCCCCAAACTGCTGGGGAAGTCCTGTCTCCCAGGGGCAGCCTGCATACTGAACCCCTAATCCCCATCCCAGAGCAGTGATTTAAATGAAATAAAACAAAATTGAGTTAAGGACCCAAGCAACTCTGGGTAAATCTCCTAGTTATAAACGGTGGTTTTGTTTTTAAATGAGACTGTTAAGCCTGATGCTTTCTTGATGTTAAAAGGGAACTAATTAGGTATAATGTAATACAGTATACATAACCACTTTTGTTGGATTCTAGTAGGTTTAACTTTATTAAAGTCAATGGAAGAATTTCAGTTAATCTGTTCTTAAAAGTATAATAGTTACCTTGATTCATTTAGGTTCCTGCTGTGTCTGGATTTTAGCAGTGGTCAGATGGGAACATGTAGGATTAGGGGATAGCTTGTTCCTACATGCAGTTCGGAGGGTAAGGCAGAGAAAAACTCAGAGTTACTCTAGCAACTTGAGAAATTCTCCCTCACAAGTAAAGAAAATAGCAAATTGGATGTATAGTAATAAGTATACAATCAGTGAACATAAGGAAAGTATTGTTTACAATCACATAATAGAAAATATAGAGTACATAATCCTTCCACAACTGTCCTCTGTGTTAACTGTTATTTACACCTCTCCACACCAAATGTGGTTGCATTTCAGTGGAGTGTATGAACATATAGTTCCAAGTGATGTGCTATGTTTTTTTAATGGAAAATAATTGTATGAATGTAAAATAGATGGTTTTAGTTATACAACCTGTGTGTAATTTTTATAGAACACAATTACTTTATGTATTTCATTATTTATTTGCATATTATCTTATCACTATAGAATTTTGATATGCATCTGTTTTCATTTTTCTATAAATACAATGTCACTGATTGATGCATAACTGGCTACAGGTAATTTAGGGACAAGGTACTTGTAATTTGGAATTAGAATATCTGTCCTAATTCTGGAAACTTGTCATCTAATATAGCTAAATCCCATTAACAGAATAATTGACTTATTTTCTGTTAACTTTAACGTTGGCGGTCACTTTTCAAGTGTGATGTCTTGAAGTCTTTAATCCTCTGAACTGTCATTCATGTTAAAATTCGACACTCTCCAAAAAGGATTGAACAAACACTCAGGCTATCTTACCCATTACCAAGATAGCTTCCCCAATTATCACCTCTAATACCATTAACTCACAAACATCCCACTCTCCCCACCTCTAATATCATCAATTCACAGACACTTACCTTCCTTCCTTCCCCCCCCCGCATCCTCCTCCTGTTCTGAAATGTGATTTGTCCTTTTCATATGTGTTCATTTTTTTTAATTGTATCCTTTGGTATAGATGGTTGTGACTATTTTCTTCCACTATTTGATCTGAGGAAGTGGGTCTGGCCCACGAAAGCTCCTCATCTAATAAACCATCTTGTTAGTCTTTAAAGTGCTACATTGTCCTGCATTTTGCTTGAAGTCTTTAGGCACTGAATATTTTCAGTTCTCAATGTAACAATTTTTAAATCTTGTTTGGACTTTCTCTTTTGGTGTATGCCAAGTTTTTTCATCATAGCTATTAAAGGGATCAAAGAAATTGATCAAAATGAACTACTGAATGTATTTATAAATACAAAAGCAGGAGGAAATTCTTTATTGGGTGTAACTTTTAGGAATTAGGACTCATTAGAGAGAAAGAAAGGCAGATAGACTTTTGGTACTCCAAATCTGTGATTTCCTTGTTACCAGTTCTTAACTTTTATTTTTTGTAGGTACATGCGGGGTCGTTTAACATATGATCAAATTAATGGAGTTGTTCAAGATTTGAACAAGGCAGTGGTTAGCAAGTATAAGATCTTACATCAGCCAATGAAATCTATGAGCTTTGCTGTCAGAAATCTGTACCACAGATTCTTGGAAGAAGAAACCAAGGATACTAAAGGTACTCTTTTTAAATTTATATATGTATTTGTGAAACTTTATTCTTCTTCACTTGTTCATATCCATTGTATGCTAGGTATGCATGGTTGCTGAAGATTTTTCTTTTAGTTTTATTCATAGTACTGGCTCTACTAGCATAAGGGTTGCTGCTTGCTCCACACCCTCTGTTCCTTCTTACTGCCCTGTGATGGTTTCTTTGTGAGACCAAAGTCCTGTCATTAGAATCCTTTTATATGGTGTTCTTGAAGGACCAGGTCCAACTGTGTGCCCCCAACCAGCCTTCCTACTAAAGGTTGTGTTGCAGTTACACAACTAGGACCTTTTTCTGCCTGTATTCTTTCCAAAACCTCGCAGACTGCTGCGGGATGTTGGCTCCATACATTAGGTAGACTCTGGCTTTCTGTATTGAAAGGACTAAGCCCTTCTGAAAGTCTGCACAGCTCTTTATGGAAATAGCAGAGAGGATCAGGGGGTTGACGGTGTCATTTCAAAGAATCTCGTCTTGTACAACTGCTTCTATCGAGGCTAGCTACAAGTAAGCAAAGATTCTGCCTCTAGCCATTGTGACTGCTGATTCCATGAGAGCCCAGGCTTAATCAGTAGTATTTCTTGCACAAATATCAATCCAGGACATCTGCTAGCTGAAACATGGTAATTGGTTTATATCTGGGATGGGAAACCATTTTTCAGTCAGGGGCCATTGACCCAAAGAAAAATCGGTTGGGTCCACAAAAAACCCCACCCTTGCTGATGTGGTCTGTGAGGGTACATCTACACAGCAATATTATTTTGAAATACTACTGTTATTTCAGAATAACTTAGTCCATGTCTACACAGCAGGCAGTTATTTCAAAATAATGTTGAAATACTTTCAAGTTGGAGGACTTCTTAATCCGACTCCTGTAACCCTCATTGTACGAGGAGTAAGGGAAGTCGGAGGAAGAGTGATCTATTTCAAAATAAGTGCTGTGTAGATGCTCCCAATTTCAAAATCAGCTATTTTGAAATAAGCTACGCAGTTGACATAGCTCAATTTGTGTAGGTTATTTTGTGTTAAGCCCTGCTCTGTAGATGCACCCTGAGGAGACAGACGCTCTCCACATTGCTGTTGCACACCAGAGCCTAGTGGGGGCCCAGCCTAGTAAATCTTGTGTGCTCAAGCCCCACAGTGGGGCAGTGGAAAGGCTGGAGCATTAGTACAGGCTCCCCAGTGCTGGAGGAGTCCTGAGCCTTGGGAGCTGGATCCAGGCAAGCTGGGGGCTGCATCTGGCCTCTGCAGCTGAGGTTCCCCACTTCTGGTTTATACCTTTAAGTCCCATTATGCTATCACTCATCAATCCTATGACAATGCCACTTTCAGAAGGCTGGTATAGTAATCAGCATGTCTTTAAATTCCAAGTTTATCTTAATGATAGTGCTTGTCAATCACCTAGCATGGAATGAACGTGAGCAAGAACATAAGAATGGCCATATTGGTTCAGACGAAAGGTCCATCTAGCCCAAAATCCTGTCATCCAGCAGTGGCTAATGCTAGGTGCCCCAGGGGGAATGAACAGAACAGGTAATCATCCAGTGATCCATCCTGTCACCCACTTTCAGCTTCTAGCAAACAGAGGTTAGGGATACTGTCCCTGCTTATCCTGGCTAATAGCCAGTAGGATGGATCTATTTTCCATCAATGTATCTAGTTCTTTTTGAATCCTGGTACAGTACTGGCCTTCACAACATCCTCTGGCAAGGAGTTCTACAGGTTGACATTGTGTTGTGTGAAGGAATACTTTAGTTGGTTTGTTTTAAAACTGTTGCCTATTAATTTCATTTGGTGTCCCCCTAGTTCTTCTTTACTTTCTTCACATCAATCATGATTTTATAGATCTCTATCATGTCCCCCCCTTAGACACCTCCTTTCCAAGCTGAAAAGTCTGTGTTGTTAATTTCTGCTCATGGTGCGCAGCCTTTCCATACTCCCTGCGAGGCCTTGAGGGGGAGTGCTTGTGTTGTCTGTAGCCAGTGAAGTTAAAGAGCAGACCCTAGTCCAGAATAGGGCTTAGTTCCACTAAGTGGAAGTGGTAGTGAGGTTGTTGCAGCCCAGGGTAGTCACCCATTGTCCTAGTAGCCCCCCTTCAGTCTTTACCAGCAGAATTGCCAGAGTCCTCAGTTGACCTGGAGTTGACAAAGGCCATGGTGAGGTCTGCTTCTGAGAAGACAGGAATTCTTTCATTGGATAATCTTAAATGAAAACAGGTCTTACTAGTTGCTGCAGATAGAGTATCTGGGCATCTAGACTTGGATAAGGACTAAATGTTTGCTTCAGTGCGTGCCAGCTAGGGATGTGAAGTACTAGTTGACTAGTTGCTTCTTCCCCTTTACTGCCTGTATCAGAAAGAGGCAGCAACAGGTGAGGAGGAAAGAGGAAGGAATACTTCAAAATGGCATCACCACTTGAAGCCTCGGGTGTCCCCAGGCTGCATGCAGTGTTTCAAAGTGGCAGCGCTGTGTGGAGTCCAGGATCAGCTGGGGACTCCCCCCACTGACTCCAGGCTCCACACAATGCTTTCGCCTTTGAAGTGTAGCAACAGCCGTAGGGCTACACTTCCGAGGCGGAGGCACACTATCGACTAATCAAATAGTCGTTGCAAAATGCATGAACTATTCAATTAGTCAGTTGATATTTAACATCCTTAGTGCTAGCAGGATTCAGACACTTGTACAGTTTGTGTGGTTTTGTTTTTCTAAAAATACCCAATCAAACCATAGGCCTTTTGTCCCAGCATGCTGTGCAGTATACTTTGCTGAGTAAGAATGTAATCTCATTGCCTTTACCTGCCTTTCCCCTTGGTTGGATCATCATATAAATGTAGCCCAATCTGGAAAATACCCATGTGGATGTATTTGCAGAATCAAGTCCTTAGACTGTAAACTCTTCTGGATCCTATTTGCATTTGCACTGCCTGGTGGACTACTTTATCCAGAAGTATACTTTAGGATAAAGGATGTGTGGTCTAAGTGGATAGTTTCACATTTCTGTTTCCCTATAACTAGCTTCGAGTGCAAATAGTTACAGCAGCAGATATTCATCTTGCTTCATACCACAGTTGAATTTAGAATTTGATATATAAACTGAATTTGTTTGTAATTATTAATAGCTTTTGCAGCTGAAGTAACTTTATTTAAATTCTGTCCTCAATCTATAAAAAGTAGATTTAAGGTAGAAGTGAGTTTGAACCACAAAACAGAGATCTGGGTCTTCAGTTGGGGAAAGTCAGTATTAAGAATCTAATGGCTTTATGGAAGAGATTGAGCTGTCGTGTGAACCTTATAAAATACATCCTTCTATTCTATTGAGTTCAGCATAGAACAAAAATGAAGCAAAATCTCTGCATAGTTTATACTATGGTCTTAACTGTAGCCACCGATTTTTCAAAATGTGAGGCCTTATTCATCTTTTCTGATTGACAAATAATTTCAAAATGCAGCAGCCGAACAGTTTCAGTGATCGTATTTACCTATAACATTTAATATTAGAAAAAGGCCAGGAACGAAATTCTTGTGACAAAGTGTAATGCCATCTCACCACTTGGGAGTGGCCTGAATGTATATTTCATCACCAAAGTGAAGTGATGGTGGAAAAAGATTATATTTTGAAATGTTAAATGAATCCTGATAAATAATTGTTTCCATCTCACAGTGGTATGTTTTTATCCTCCAGGCGAATTTTTTATCGTGGAGGCTGATATAAAAGAGTTCACACAACTGAAGGTGGATAAGCGCTTTCACTGCATTCTGAACGTCCTTCGGCATTGCCAGAGAGTGCGGGAAGTCCGTGGCTCACGACTTGTCCGTTATGTTATCTGCTAATATGGTTTTGGACTTGATTTTGCCCAGGGTGAAGAGCACAAATATTTTTTGTTAGGCATAAAGATTTGGTTGCTTTCAGAAAGTCAAAGACACTATACACTGAAATTTCCTGCTCAGCTAATTGATTTTCTAAACAACAGTTTAGTTGTTGAAGTTGTTTTTTGGTTTTCCAGAATGAGACAGGTATGCAGCTCTGAGGGGGATAAAAACTTCCAAACTTGATGATGATGGTTCTGTTTTTCACATTTCATTGGTCAGATTTATTCTTCAATCCAACCCATTTTATCAAAACACATTATCATGCTTCTATTTTGACTTTCATTTTTGAAAATATTTAAGGACTGGCAGCTCTTATAGAACACTTATCTGCTGCCTGCTATATAATCAATCTTAGAATAGAATTATTTTTTTTGCAATAAATTCCAATGTTGCATGCTGTTAAAGATGTTTTTGGTTGACAAAAGTTTTGACACAGGTTATTTTCCCTCCTTGAAGGCCTGCACTTAACCAAGTAGTCTAAAGTAGCTTTTTTTGTATTTTCCCAGTAATACTATGACAGTTGAATGAGCGGAAGATTGACTGAAACTTGAACTATTGAAAAGCCAATAAAGAAGGCTAGGTAAATGGTTGGATTTGTTTGTCTTTCACTGTCTGAGGCGCTGATACTAACATGTGATGCAAGCCAGCTGTAGTCTCCATTCTGCATAATGTTGTGTGTCATTCAGCACAAAATC